TGACGTTTTTATTTATTTCTGATGCCAATGCAGAAAGCGGAAAGTGAATATTCTTTCTTTTTCTTATAATTTTAACAACTTAAAAAACAATGCGATGACGAGCACCGGCTACGTTATCTATCTTCTTCCTATAAAAAGAAAAGTTCTTATGTTATTTTAAGAAATCCTACCTCGCACTTCAAAACAATGCACCTATTGTTCACCTCATATTCATAATTCCCCTTATTTTGCTCCAAGTCAACTTATTATTATAATCAACATTCACTGTTATCAATGACGAAAAAAAGGTATTGTACTTCATTTCATTGTCTTAATGTTAAAACTTGTTACGATTTGGAATTTTGTTGGTTTTAGTATTATTATTTTATTTTAAATCCTAAAATTATAAAAAGCAATGTAAACTTCTAAGAACCATCTTAGAAGAAACATGAAAACTCCATCGTAAACATGAAAACTCTTTCAACATATTTCATAAGATTTTAATTTAACGTTTTTCTAAATTTTTATTACTTGTTCTTAATGGTGCGGTAACATTAGAAAAGTGTTTTTTTTTTCCTCATTAGAAAGTTTTTTTTTATAAATGGAAGAATTAGAAAAGTTTAATAAAAAATAATACCTGTGTGTAATGTTCCGTTAAAAAGCCCTTTACCATGTTTTTACGTTAAAAGTACACTCGGAAGCATTGTTTTAAATTTATTTCTAGAAACTTATATTTTGTTATTACAACAATAAATTAAAAGCACTTAAAAATCACAGAATATTATTTTAATACTTTTTAGAACAACACATTCTTAGTCAGTTTGGCACATTTTTATTTCATGTTGGTAAGATTTTTTTTATCAATATAATTACTATTATTGTAAAAATTTAAAAAAATGCACTGTTATTCGTTATGTTATTTTTGCATAGAAATAGTTTGGTTCAATTTTCATGCATAATCTATGTTCTAAGAACATGTTTTCTTTTACATTTTATTTCTATAATGGCGAAATATAATAACTTGATTCAAAAATAGTGGTTACTACAAGAAAAAAAAGGATGGGTAAAACTTCCAAACTTCAGTAAAATTTGGAATGTTGTCTGGCTAAATGAAAATACCAAAAATTTCTTTACTTTTTAATAATTTATTTTAAAATTATAAAATTATTAACAGTTTTATTGGCATATTGTTTGAAATATTCTTTACTCGATTTCCACTCATTTTCTGCTTTGCTAACTACAAACTTTCGACTTTTTCTATTTGGAATCAGTCTTACAATTATGATGTTCTAAATTGAAACAATCGATCAGTATTGGATGTACATTATTCTTTTACTTAACTATTAAAACCTAATTTTGCAGAGAAAGTTAACATATTTTATATATATATATATATATATATTTAGGGAGAAAAAATTGTTCGCCAATACTTTTACCAAAACACTATTTGGTTTGCCGAATTTACAATTTTATTGCATTTAGTGAGGTAATGAATGCTTAGTGAGGGCCCTGTATCTGGTATTATTTTTTAAGCTAGTTCATTTTTTAAGACTAGAAAATATTCAAGTGAACTTTCAATTATATTTACAAGCAAGTTTTCTATTTGATTAGGTTAGCTGCAATAAATATGAATCAACCTGTTAGTGTAGAAAAATTCATTCTATACAAAGCAAAAAGACTTTCAAGGACCTTAAAAGAATTCTCCTAACTTAGTTACGCTGAAAATCAAAAGATTTCTTCTCTCTACTAAATTTTCATGTGAAATCCTTCCTACAATTACTGATCTGATTACTGAAGCAGCATGCATATTAATGACCAACCTATTNAATTATCTAATTTATTTCTTTTATTGAAAACAAAATTATCCGTTTGAAAACATCGCCTATCAGAATAACATGTAGTAAGCAGCTGCAAACTTTTTAACCGGAACTAGAGTAGGTCCCAAGCTCGAGATTGTTATTGTTTACATTTCTATTGAAAACACCATCCATATATATATATATATACATATATGCGTGTGTGTATATATATTTACACAAAAATATATTTCACATGAACTTTGAAAACTGTTGTTTTCTAGTAGCTTTAAAATCAGTTAAATTATCTGAATTAGCTTTCTGTTTTGCTCACTTCTGTTTGTTCTGTTTTTGTTTCTGTTTTTATCCTCACAATTGAAACTTAAGTTAAACGCAAGGAAAATATTTTTAATTTTTATTTTTAATATTTATGGCGCAAATATACACAGCTAATTAGTTGTGTTTTTTATTGTATTTACCTTTCTTAATGAGAAAAAATATAATTATATAGCTGTCAAAGGTGACCAATATTGTTGAATTCAATGATTTTTCTGAAAATCCGAAACTGAAATGCATGGTATTAAAAAGTCTATGTAAGCAAATAAAATGCAGTTTTAAGCTGTATTTCATGTACGCATTTGTATTCATTGAACCAAATATGTCAATGAAGCGAAAAGAATTTCGTTGTTAAAATTTCCCAAAAAAGCTAGCGTCTGTCTCTAGTATTAGTTTCCCGATAATAAAAAAAAAATATAAAATCAGTCTGTTACTTAAGTAAGAAAAAACTAATACATTTCTTTTCTTTGTAATTATATAGTTCAATGAAACTTTTTAATGACTTTTTTTTTTATTGTTTTGCGATTCAGATCACTTTATGCCCTCGGTAGATTAATTGTTACGAAGTTTACTAACGCAAAAGAAATTTTCGAATCAAAGGAACTCAGAATATTTTTACAGTTTCACGTTTAATATTTGTAAAAAATATATACGCAGCTTATTTTTTTGTCTATTTACTTGTATATTTACTATTGTTTATTGTATAAACGTTTTTTATGAGACCAAAATATTTTAATGCAGCCATATGCACCCAACATTTTTGAATTCCACGATGTTTCTGAAAAATTAGAAATCAAAAAAGTATATAATAGCAATGAAGTGCATTTTTTTTCTTATAATACAGTTGAAATTATTCAACTAAAGGAATATATGTATTAAAAAGAGCACTTGTACTTCCCATATCTAAATATTTACCTTATGACATTATTAAGATCTATATGTCAACATAAATCATTTTTCTAAGTAATATTTCTTTTAAATAACATTTAAAATTGAAAGTATATTGTTATAACAAATTTGATGAGTTCACATCCGTAATTTAATATTTTCGCTTACTGGTGTATTTTAGAAACAATTTTTGTATTCGTAACTTTGCGCATGAAGCTGAAAGTTAAGTTTTAAATCATTTAACGAATCTCTTAACCGTAATTCATAATAGCATATTAATGTAATTTGCACCAAAAAATAATAATTGTAAAGCAGTTAATAAGATCTGACATCGATTTATGTAACTTTATCATAATAGGTAACATAGAATTGCATTATTCTAATTATAATAATAAAAACAATCCTTCTAAACTCTTAATGTAGAAATCAAGCAAAATCAAAAACTTAATAATAACAGTGCAGGTAATTTTAATCTTTAAATTAAGGAAATAAAAGTATTTATAGGAAAACAATAACTTTATGATTTATATCAATTTTGTGCTGATGACAGCCAGACCAATAAGAAAATTAATGTATGAAAACTGGATCCTACCATGTGATTATCCAGCCAATAAAATTGTATTGACAGCAATGGAAAACTGCGACACCACCATTAGCTTTTTATATAAGGTAAGACACATTTGCATTCGTTAAACACAATATCTAACTGAGGTAAAAAAAAACATAGAAAACTAATTTTGTTGTCTGAATTTCCAACATGTTAATTTCCATTTTTTCTTCGTTCATGATAATAAACAAGTATAAATTCAGTAATTTTTTTATCAGAAAAACTTACCCAAAATGTTTCTCTTTGTGATAACATTGCTTTCTGGGCATAAAAAAAAAGCTATGATCAAGATAAAAAAATCGAAAAATTCAGCTTTTTATTTGAATGTTGGTCAGCTTTTTCTCGATTCTAACCACTGTTCGGTGAACGCATAAATGAAATCTATACAGTGCGGAAAAGAACTTATCAACCTGAGTAATAATCTCTACTACTAATGACAGGAATTATGTGTGAAATAAAATTTAAAATATACGACTAAAAAAATATATATTTTTCTGAAACTATTCGGCCGATTGCGCTAAAATTTTATATTTTGCCACATAAGATAACCTTCTTTAAATTATGTAAATATTTTTATACCTTACAATTCAAATTTTTTCTCCAACTAATATAATTATTAATCAAGTATTGAAAATTATTTCTTCATGGAAGTCTCGTTGTATAAACGAATTTAATAACTGTATAAAAACTTTTTCGATTCACTTTAACATTCATATAAAATGCACAAGATGTAAATTAAAATTAAGACCTTCGATTGCTTTTTTGCGGCTGTTCCCTTCATGAATTCAAATCTGTGGAAAGAAAGGCATGCTTATTTATAGAAAATACATCTTTTGATAAATTTTGTAAGTTAGAATATTGCCTGCACTATTTATTATACTTATACTATTTATTATACTTAAGTTTAGGCCTAGAAACATTAAGATTGATTCCCGGTACGATCATTAGATCAAAAGCTATTCAGGGATAATTTATTTATTTTTACATACCTTGTATTTTTCTTTTTATTTCCAATGGCAAGGAATACAAACAAAAACACAGATGAACAAGAAAAACAGAAAATAACAAAAGACCGAAGTCATCTTCCCAAAAGCTCTCTCGCACGCCAATATCTTGCGGTCTCCGAGTCAAGTCCGTGGAGCCCCCTACAGCTCTCTATTCATTGGTGCTCCAGAACCACACAGTTGACACTGAGGGTGGTCATAAATACCTATACGATGCAGGTGTTCTTCTAGACAATCACGACCTGTTAGGAGTCTAAAAGTTGGCTACTGCATCTCGGCAAGGCTTATCTGGTACTGCCTTAATATCTGTCTCACTCCAGTTCTTATTCCTTATGCTTTCTCGTAGGTCAGCAGAGGCATTCATTTTCATTATGTTTTTTATATGTAGTTTTATGGAATGGTATGACAATTCAGAGCAACTTGGTTGAAGGATTTGTGTTCCCTTGCAAGCAAGAAAGCGCCAGCTTGCTCGCTACCATAGATGTTACAATGGCTGGGAATCCACTGGATGACTACTCTTTTGCTTTTTAGTGTCAAAAGTCTGGTAAGTCTCCGACACTGAAGCACTTCATCCGACAAAGTGTCTCCCTGTGAGCCGATCGCCTGGATTGCAGCCTGGGAATCTGACAGCAATACAACTTTTCCAAATTTTGAATGGATAGCCAACAGTTGTTTCAATGCAATATATATAGCATGTACTTCGCCATCAAAGGCCGTTTTGAATTTCCCGGCAGATGCGTAGAAGGAAAAGAGGTCAGAGAAAACACCAGATACAGCAGCCATTTGCGAGTCAGAGTAAGAGCCACCGGTATAAACGTGTAGTCATTGTTGTTTTGAGTACTCAATATATATGGTCTCCAATGCAAGGGATTTTAAAATTTCAGGTGCTGTTTGTTTCTTTATAATATAATTTTTAACATTTAGGTTTGATATAATTTCTTCTGATTCGATAGGGTTTTATGGTTTTAAGTTATTTTTAATCACATTGCAAAATTAAATTTTTTCTTTTTTGCAATGTGATTAAAAATAACTGTGATTAAGCATACCTTATATTAGTTACCAAATTATTGCAGTGATCAGAAACGTTTAGTAATAAGTTTCTTAAAAGTTAGAAACGCTTTTTAGGTACTAAACTGACTAGAGTTTTTTTTTTCTTTTTTGACGGACAGCTGGAAGACCTTTTTACCTTTTTTAAACTTAAAAGTAAAAATTTACAACTTAAAAATTATAACTGATCACGTATGAAGTTAATTAACTGGAAACGTGAAAAAATTAAGACATGTTGTCATCCGCAAAAAATATTATATATTTATTTAAATTTATTTTTTATTTAAAAACTATGCTTCCAATGATGAGCTTAAATAATTAAAATGGTTGCGAATCTTTGGAATGATGCTTATAAAAGCTGTCTACACAGAATTAAAAAAATCTTATGAACTTATAAAATAAAGTTGTCTGATATTATAAAGAAAAATAATGAACTAAAACAATATAAACTTNTATTCGTTACAGTCCAGGAAAATAATTGCGCAACAATAGCAAAAATTGCTTGACTATAACACGAGTTTCGTTTCATTTTCTTAAAAACAAATTAATTAACTAAGCATAGAGCATATTTCTTCAAAGGAGTAGACCAAAAATAAAAAAATAAAATTGTGATTGTTAATTTTTGAGAAACTGTGGAAATATTTACTCAATTTATTTATGGCTCCAATTTTAATTTACTTATTTATTGTTACACATTTACATTTAGGTTTGTGTGCTAATTACAAAGCCTGACTTAAAAGCTATTGTCAAGCTAATGATTATGCAATTATGCTAAATAATCTGATAACTATGCAACAGTAACAAATATTTCTTGTTTGGAAAATGCGTTCTACTTCATTTTCTTTAAAACAAATTAATCAGCTAAACATCATGCGTATTTTTATCCGAGGATATATAGAATTATTGGGGTAATATTTTTTTATAAACTGAAGGTTCATTTTCTAATTTCAGTTTTGCCTCCAATTTTATGCATAGTTTTGCATTCATATTCAGGCGTGTGCTTAATACAAGGTACGGATTAAATAGCCTTCTATTTTTTTTTTAATAACGACGATCAATGAACTGTCGTTATTCACTTTAGAAGATGCCGAAAGTGTGTTTTATCGCTACCCGGAAGACATCGGTCTGGTCACGGTGTGCTAAGGTCACGGAGACGAGCAACATCATAGTGCGGCTTTCAGGAGAACTCCTCCAGACAACCATTTCGCGTCGTGGCGGGTACTATGGTAACGAGGAAAGGTCACTTCAAATAGGGGTGTGGGGTGAACAGTTTTGCTTTAATCTTAGCGCAGGCCATCGTGAGTAAACCAATCGACACCTTCTTTCCTCCATTTCTTCCCCATTAGAAATGTGCTCTGGCTTGTTACCATAACAGCAGACAGCCTCAGACTTTCAGTCTGGAGGAGTTCTCCTCAAAGCCGCACTATACCAACCCCACACTGCCACAGTTTATAGGGTGGGCTACATTCACACATCACACAACAGAAGACATCAGACAACAGGGAACAACCACACAGAAAAACATACATGCTCTGAGCGGAATTCGAACCCGCAGCCATTGTCTTCGCAGACACGCGTGCTAACCACTCGACTCCTTGGCCATCTAATTAAACTGTTAGCTATTTTTTAAGGGGTACAATATTAGGTGGGCCAACGTTACTCCCACAGTAAGGACCGATAGCACAGAGAATGAAAGAACATTCATGCCTTGCCCGTGATTCGAACCCAGAACCTTTCTTATTCAAGGCTAACTCCCAGACTTCTACACAATCCGGTCAGTACCTTCTCAAACTAAAGCAATGCTCCCCAACCTTTTTATCGTCACTGACCAGTTAACGTTTAGTAATTTTACAGCGGCATACTGGCGAAGGAGAGGAGGGGAGGCGAGGGATGCTGATTATTTAGATTTTAGTTGGTTTTGATATAAGGATTTTAGTTTAATTGTAATTTAAACATGACTTCAAAATAAAATACTGTTACATGCGTGATTGGCTTCAACTTTAGATGACGTTTTTCAGCTCCCGGTTAACTTCTCGTGCATGTAATGTAGTACAAACAAGAGAGAAATACACCACAGTAAATGAAATGGAAGTAATTTAATGTTTCGTGGACGGCTTGATACCATTTGATCCACTGGTCGGGACCCGTCTACGGCCCAGAGGTCAAAGACAACTGCACTAAAGAACGAATGTCGCAAGTTAGATGATCGCAATCTGAAGAGGAAATTTCTTTAGATCCCTGAACCCATGTTATTGTTCAACGACCGATCACAGAGCTATTGATTCCACAGATTTTATGAGCACGTATACCACATGTACTTGGTGGGTTATGGAGGAGTCGAGGATCAGACAGATTCTCTCACCGCTGCGCTACCACGACCCAAAAATCTGGTTTAATACTGTTTCACAGCAAATGCATCCTTTGTAACTTATGTATTAAATTCTTCTGACATGCTTTTTTCTAATACAAGTGTTAACTAAAACAGGTAACTATCCACTCAGCTTAGTCAAAAAAAAAATTGCACTAAAATCATGTATTCGTTGTTCACGATAAGGTGTTCAATTCTTATTCTCTATCACTAGTAAATATTTATGCAAAAGCATATTAGTTGACAGATATATAGCTTCTTTTGCCTTTTTTTTAAAAAAAAAAAAGAACATGACACCCAAACTTAGACATCAGAGAAATCAGACCCATGACACCCCCAAAAAAATGCTTGTGAAAGATTTGTATAAATGGTTGACCATGGCTTCAAAACTCCTATTTTCGAAACTATTACACATATTACGATAAATATTACACAGAGAAGTTGTTTTTTTTATGACAAATTTACGATCTGCGACCATTTTCTTTAGTTGTAGTAGTAGTAGTATAGTACTTAATTTAAGTCGTACTAGCGCTGCACAATCAGCTACATACGGCGAATGCTGGCGGTCATACAGTTTACTGATCGTGAAACTCGTTTCCCAGTATATTACCCTAGTTAAAAATTGCTCAATGAGCGGAGAGGTTACCCCTTTGATCTGCCTGCAATGGAACCAAGAGTGCGAGTTTCAGTCCTCGTTTAATTGTTCGACCGTAAATTGCTTGACCTAACGCGCAAGTTGACAGCCTTTCCTAAGCGGGTAAGCCTTTCCCTCAGCAAAATTGTGACTCATATGTGCCTCTTTCTCAAGGATGTTTCCCAGGTTATTACCAATAGCCCAGTGTGCAGCTCTAATGAGAGGCAAATAAACTGCTATGACTTCTACTATTCGTTACAGTCCAGGAAATATCCCTGAGAATTATCTGATCCTTTTTTGTTAGACCGCAATTGTCCAATCAGTGATCGATTTCGTTTCATGCATTTTGTACTTACACACTGCCAATAGTTCCTAATACTTTTAAAATTCATTATTTATATTCTTGTATTGTTTTCGGCTGTGGTTGCTCAGAAACAGAGTTTTGAGCCAGCGTAAAGATATTTACTTATAATCATGTGACCACCAAGATCCTAGAATCATACGCTATGTAATCTATCAATACCATCACTTAATAAACCCATCTGTGCAACATTATTGATTGAAATTTGACTGAGATTAGGTATGTGTCATGAATCCAATAGGCTCACACATCGAATATTTGCAATAGAAAATAATTGCTAGCTATATTTTTCTTTACTTTCGATATCAATTATTGTAATATGTTTAATACGAAAATATGTAAATATTTTAACTCCTGTCATTTATTTTACCTAACCCTGTTAAGTAGAAAGGAGACAATGAATTAGAACCGTAGAGGCCAACTTTGATGGTAGATTCCCACTTCAATCCCAAGGAAAGATTAAAGTTTTTTTACAAAGGATGTGGGGGAGCGTTTCTAAAAAATCTTTTATTTTAAACTCATGTAAGAATAGATGGGGAGGAGCCGATAGAAAACTGTTCGGACCACTGATCCGAGTATTAAGCCTTGCATGTAAGGCACGAAGAAAAGATCAAAGCTTTGACAATGCGTTTGGCTCGTCACCCTTTAGTAAAACAGCTCCAGGAACGCCTAGGCGCCACGCCTCCTAGTTCATTGAGAAGGAAATGAGGGCAGGTCACGCAAGAAAGCTGTGATGATACAAGCTCATCATTCCCTTCAAAGTGAGATCAGTAAAACCTCTTTCTGTAGCATTTACTTGGAATGGACTATGACATTGCCTCAGACGGTGGTCTAACTGACCTATTAACCTTTCGGAGATAAAAAGGCGCTGTTAATCGCTTTCAATTAATTTCTGGTTTTCGGAGTATGGCAAAATTGGTCAATTAGTCAGATGAAAAATATTTAGTACCTGATGACTAGATTTAATTAGATTTGCGATAAATAATTAGATTTACTTTAAACGCTTTATAATTGAATCATTTTCAATTGTCACTGAAGCTGATCACCGATTATGTTCAATTATAGTCTAAAGTTTTTCATGTAATAATAATTGTTAAAAAAAATAAGTAGCGGAAATGATAAAGTTGTGATTTGGAGAAGAAGCTATTAAAATATTACATAATCATAATTTCGGCACTTTTGGACTCATTCGGACAAAAATAATCAGATTACTACACTCCCACCCATACTTACGTAAGAAAGTCATAACCCAAATTGTTTTTTGCGTTAACTTTGACTTATAGTATGATGATCAAATTTTAATTAATTAAGAATTAGTTTTTGACATCCCAAAATAATTAAATTTTCTTCAAGAATAATGTTATAATTCAAGT